CCTTTACGGCCTTCCCTCGCCGGCCACAGCGCGCTTGCTCAGCCCCAAGGCACACCCGGGGCCAGCCTGAGCCCCATTCCCGCCCCGGGGTGCCCATCCCTCAGGGCGGGCACCGGCAGCCCGCCTCTCCTCCGGGGCCAGGCGGCCCGCGCGGCTCTTCCGCCCCTGCCCGATGGGCTGATGGGGACGAGGAGGAGGCAGAGCCCGGCAGACCCTTCCCCGGGGCCGGCCGGCGGTGGGCGCGGGCGAGCGGACGGGGACCCGAGTCAGCGGGAGCCCCGCCGGGCAGGACTACTGCCGGCCCCGCGCTGTGCCCCGCCAGCCGCCGGGTGGTTTCAATACGAGCCTGTTTAACAGGGGGCCGATGGCCGGCCGAGGCGCGGAGCCACGGCTGCTGCCGGCCCCCGCCTCCCCGCCCCCGCCGCTCCGCGCTCTTTGTAACAGTCTCATCTACAAGGACGATTGAAACTTTATAGTGCATGATTCATAGAGCGGGGCTGGCGCTCGGAGCCGCGGCGCATATTACATTAATCAGTGTCAGGCCACTAAAACAGAGATATGAATATGAATTCTCCATATTGCAAGGGAGATAAATGTGCTTGTGAATAATTGATCGGCTCCCATGGAAAAAAAAAAAAAAAAAAAAAAAAGTAAAAAAAAAGGCTGGGAAAAACATGGTCATACCATGAAAGTTAGCCGGAGATCGAACAAGCCCCGCGACCAGGGCTAGTGCGGGGCTGCCGGCGGGCGGGGGCAGCCTCAGCCCGCACGGCGCCCCCGCCCCAGCTCTGCAGGTCGCTGCTGTCGACGACGGCTTCGGGGCCGCTCCAGATTCAGAGAGAGTGCATCAAAAACTCAACCAAAGCAGCAAGAAGGGATGACAGGAGCCGGGAACGATAACAATCATAGGAACGAGCCAGTTCTGAGTACACGCACCCTACTAATTTTCTTCTTCCCTTTCTCTGGGCGTGCTTTTTTTTTTTTTTTTTTTCCTTTTTAAAAA